GGAAGAAGGGGCTAGGGCTGGTTCTATCATTTCCTCCCCCCCCCCCCCACCCATGCTATGACCTGAAGTCCTTCCCACACCTCCTTAAAGACTTTTTTATTGTCTTTTTGAGGCAGGGTCTCTCTGCAGCCCCAGCTGGCCTAGAACTCACCATGTAGACCAGGCTGACCTTGAACTCACGGAGATCCTCCTGCCTCTGCCTCCCGAGTGCTGGGATTAAAGGTGTGTGCTACCATGCCAGTCCTCCTTAAAGATTTTATCATCTTCAAATAGAACCATACTGGGCTTTGAACCTTTACTATGTGCTTCTTTGAGAGAGCCTTAAGATCCAAGCCACAGTCCCTATTGTCTAGGAACTAAGTCCAAACTCTCTAAGAGTCTTTGTCACTGGCCTCACCTGATTTACCCACCTCATCTCCTGCCTCTTTCCCACTTCATGCCCTTTTCTCCAGCTCCCCTAAGTCTCTACCAACAGCAAATGCCCTTTCACAATCTTTGGTCTTAACCCATGTTGTTTATTCTTAGACTATATGCCCTCTCTTCCTTGTCTAATAAATTCTTACTCATTGTTAATCAGCTATTGTCCATAAACCGGTCACTTCCCTGTTGATGACTTCTGTGAACCACTGAGATACAGTTAGTCACTTCCATGTTCTTACAGCTCCTTGCCCTTTCTTATGGACTTGGCCATTGTTCACACATTGACCACATGGCTTCTTTTGAATATCTTCTATGTTGGCCATTTTTTTTTTATGTTGGCCAATTTTTAACCACATGAATTCCATTTCTTTGAGGTGAAACCCAGAAAACCAAAATTTCTCTCGTAGCTGAGAAGTTAAAGGATCTAGAGATCTTTTGATCAGATTTTCCTGCAGAGAACACCCCCCCCACTCCCCAAGTGAGTAATATGCATTTCAAGGGAGTGAGGCAGGACATTAATTAGCCAACAAGGGCTGTCTAGACAGGCCTTTGATTCTTGGGATGGCCAGTGGCAGAACTTCTGGTAAACAGTCTCTGGTGCTGAGGAATAGTAGTGTTTGCCAGACCAATTTGCTGGGGTGACTGGGAATATTTGGGCTTCACAGCCTGGCTCCTCAGCTCTCTTAGATATTTTATGAACTACCTAATGTCCCTTGATAAAATAACTGTTTAAAAAAGTCTAAATGGACCTGGTTTTGTACTGACCGAGAAGCATGGCAAGCACCTTGGTTGGAATATGTATCAAATTTTATTATGCATTGTCTGTTTACTTGCCTTACTCCACTGGATTAATCCCAGCTACAGTGTCTTCTCCTTCTATGTATAAAGTACTTCTAATTGCCTTTGTCTTGTCTGTTTTAGTTTTTTTGTTTTGAGACAGGGTCTAGCTTGTGGCAATCTTCCTGCATCAGCCTCCTGAGCACTCAGATTACAGTGCGCATCGTCTTGGCCGGCTTGCTTTTCATTTTGTTCTGTTTTTTAGACAGTGCCTAACTATGTAGTCCTGGGTAGCCTTGAATGTGTGGGATCCCTTGCTTCAGCTTCCCAAGTGCTGGGAATACAGGCATCTGTCACCATGCCTGTCTTGGTTTGGTATATTGAGGGAAATGGAGTTGAGACAGGGTCTTGCTTTATAACTCTGGCTAGTCTGGTACTTGGTATCACCCAGGCTGGCCTTGAACTTGCAGCAATCTTCCTGTCCCAGTTTCTTGAGTGCTGAGATTACAAATGTGCACCACTGTGCTTGGCATGGTTTGAGGTTTTGAAACAGTATCCCTATGCAGTGTAGGCTGACCTCAAACTCATGATCCCCCTGCCTCAACATCCCAGGGGCTAAAATTACAGGTCTGTGCTACTATGTCCAGTTACATTTTAATTTCTTGAATATTTCAAATTGTGAATATACAGGAAATGTTTACTCTGTGTCATGCACTCTGCTAGTCAGTAAGAATATAATAGTGGGAGTCCTGCAGAGATGACTCAGCAGTTAGGAGCACTGGCTGCTCTTGCAGAGGATCAGGGTTCAGTTCCCAGCACCCACATGGCAGTCCTTAAGTCTATTCTGGGGGATCTAATGCCCTCTTCTGGCGTCCTCAAGGACTGCATGATATGGGTGCATTTACATATACATTACAGAACACTCATATACATAAAATAAAAAGTAAATAAATCGCCAGGATTGGTGGCCCAGGCCTTTAATTCTAACACTCAGGAGACAGAGGCAGGCAAATCTCTGTGAGACTGAGGCCAGCCTGGCCTACATAGTGAGTTCCAGGCCAGCTGGGGCTAAAGGGAGACCCTGTCTCAAAAAGACCAAATAAATAAAATTTAAAAGATAGCCCTTCAATTGCTTAAAGGGCAAAGATAAAAGCACTCAGTCTCACAAGGCAGCCTGCCACTGCCTCCAGAGTTCTGGGATTAAAGGCATGCACCATGGCATCTCTCCTTTTAACAAATCTTTGACTATTGACTATTCCCTTTCCTCCTCCCTGAGGCTGCGTTAGTAACTTTTTCCAAGTCCCATAATGTCTTGAATATGTATCTGCTGATTCTCTTACTTTTTGTTGTATGTCATCTATATGTGTCTCAGTGCCCTCCCAAGCCAGGGCCTGGCACGTGATAACTACTCAATTAATTCAATAAATGTTTCTTGAAAAAAATATAAATTAAAGCCGCAACACTCTATCCCTACCAGAAAGGCCAAAATGAAAAAGATTGAGAATATTGTCCTTTTTTCTTCTTTTCTTTTCTCTTCCCTCCCTTCCCCTCCCCTCCCTCCCTTCCTTCCTTGGAGACCATTTGGCCTAGAACTTACTATGTACCCCAGGCTGACCTCAAACCCCAGCTAACCCTTCTACCTTCGCCTTCTCAGTGCTAGGATCACAGTGTCAGCCAGCATGCCTAGTTTAGAAGAGCAAGTGAAGGTGTTACTAAACTGGAAATTTCAAACACGGTTGAAGGAACATAAAAAAGCTACAAAACTGTTTTGCAAAATTTACTGGTAAAGTTCACTAAAGCTGAACCTATATACATGCCCTATTACTCAGAGATTGGATGCCTCTGTGTGTGCGTGCGTATCTGCAACAGAAATGATTGCTTATATCTGAGAATCTTTTTTTTTTTTTCCTAGCCTTTTGGAGACAAGGTCTCCCTGTAGCCCCAGCTAGCCTTGAACTCACAGAGATCCACCTGCCTTCTGAGTGCTGGGATTAAAGGCATGTGCCACCATGTCTGGCTATATCTGAGAATCTTATCAGCTTTATTTATATCAGCTTCAACAATCTAAATGTCTATCCACAGTTGACTGATAATGAACTGTGGTATATTCGTAGCACGCAGTAGTATATAATAGTTTCTTTAAGTTAAAAAAAAAGGCTATAAACAGGAGCAAAAAAAAAGGCTAATACTGAGCAAAAGAATCAGAGCTTCAAATCAAAAGAACACATTTTGTGATTCCAATGAAATGAAATTTCAGAAGGGGCAAATTAATCTCTGGTGGAAGAGGTTAGAGGAAATGGATAACTTTTAGAGGCTGGACAATCATGCACTGGAAACGAATGGGAGAGAGATTTCTGGAGTTTTATTCTACTCTATTATTTATTTAAATTATTTTTACATTATTTATTCATTCATTTTTTTACAAAGAGTCTCCCTGAAGCCCCAGCGAGCCTGGAACTTACTACTTAGACCAGGCTGGCTTCCATCTCGCAGAGATCTGCTTGCCTCTGCCTGAGTGCTGGGATTAAAGGTATGGGCCACTATACCTGGCTTGATACTCTATTTTTTATAATAGTATTTTAATCTGGTCTGGTTTGTTTATGTTGGATGTTTTCCTTTGTTCTTTGGCTGTTAGGGATCAAGCTCAGTGCTTCACACAGTTGTAAGCAAGGGTTTTGCCAGTCAGCAACAATCTCAGACTGGTATTTTAAAAGCCTTATGCAGAAGAATTTTGTTGGACAATGTCGTCTGTCCTTCACTGAAAACATTTTACTCCTCCAACCAAATATGTAAAAACCCCGAGCTGCTTATGATGTGTACATTTTTAAGCATATGTAGTTTATATCTTGATACAACTGTAAAGAAAATAATTAAATAATGCATGTTCTCTTTATGAATAAAGGAAAGAATGAATGAGTGAGCTGGATCTTCAACTGGGAAAAGAAAGACGACTTTGCAGCGCGGAGAGACTTGTAGTTCATAGTTTTAAAGCAGTGCTCTTAAACTCTCTATCTTAATGGTGCCCAAATAATTGTTGGCGTACTTCCATTGCTTAAACAGCAGCCATCTTTGCTATTTAGTCACATTTATGCTGCTTAATCAAAGAAAGTTATTAACAGTAAAAGAGGTGATGTGCACCTTGTGGGACGGACATTTAATTCGCTGTGAGGGACATAGTGAGCCCTTTGGGAACTGAGGGCCTGGTTAATGACATTCTGGTTTTTTTTTTTTTTAATCCTTTGATGCTTTTTAAGATGCGAGTCCAAATTAATAATTCAGACTCTTGAGGAGAGCGAAGAGTTGGCACTCGTGTTTTCAAACGGGACAGAAACCTCCCCTCACGGACACTGCCCGCCACCCAGAGCGCAGGAGTCCTCATCGCCCGCGGCCGGGCCAGGGGATGTGCCTCGCCCATCCTTCTCCAGGTGGGGTTCGTGGCTGAGCGTCCAGCCCCCCGGCCAGCCTGACGCAGTTCAAGGGCGGCCAACAACTCTGCGGGAGACCCCTTGGCCGCTGCACTGGGGGCGGTCTGGAAACCGGATCCCAGAGGGGAGCGGAGTCTGGGGACGCGGTTTCCGGGATGACCCGTAGGGGTCGCTGTCCCGCAGCCCGGGCCCGGGGGCGGTCCTGCAGCACCTGGGCCTTTCGCCCCTCCTCACCCGAGCTGGCGGTCCTGGCCGCGCGGTGGCGCTGTGTCGCGGTCCAGGCGCGCGCGCCCTCAGGGTCTCGGTCCTTAAACCCTCCGCCGTCCCCCGCGCGGGTGACGAGGGGGCGGGGCCGGCGGCGCGCTGGGCCGGGCGCGCGAGCGGGAACCCAGGTGTGTTCTACCGGCGGGGTGGCCCCGGGAGCACAGCGTCCTAGCAGCCGGCCGAGGAGGCGGACGGGAAGATGCCGCTGTCGCCACCATCTCAGGGTGACCCCAGGGAGGCCAGCCCGTCCAAGGCCCCCAAGAAGCACCCCACCTTCCACATTTGGCGCTCCAAGAAGAAGCAGCAGTCTCCGCCGTCCAGCTGCGGAGTGTTCGTGCCGCACCCGCCTGCGGCCAGGTAAGCGAGCGTCCGCTGCACGCCTACCCCGCAGGCACCAGGTCGTCCCGGTGGCGGGAGTTCCTCGGGACCCGGAGGCGCGGTTCCCGCTCTTCCCAGCTTTGGCTCAGACCAAGCACCAGCTACTCACCTGTGTGGTCTTCGACAGCGAAGACTGCAAAAGTCAAACAGTAAGCGAGCGGATGGTTCCTCTAGGAAATCTCCACGCCGGGGGTCTGGAATTTTGATCCTAGTGCTTTAATTGTAAAGATTCCCACGTCTACGGATATTATATCCTTTTTTCTCACAAGATCCGAAAGAAGGAGGAAGCGGCAGGGACAGTTGACTGTATTACATAGAGAAACTGAGACCCCCATCAGTGTCAGTGATAGAACCAGGGAGTACCTAGTTCTTTAAAGTGTAAGGACTGAGAATAAAGCTCACTTGAAGAGTGCTGGCCTAACGTGTAGGATCCTAGATCCTCAACATGGTGGGGGGAAGCGCATGGAGGGTATTAGCTATTGTACCTTTAAATATTATACATTGATTTTTGTGGTGGTTTTAGTCTATATCTACAATTCAATTGTAGTATCAGAATTGATGTGTTGGTTGAACAGAATCCTAGTCCTATTTCTAGTCTATCAAAATATAACAACATATAGCTCTAGGTATTTTATTCAGTAGCTTTTCCTTCTTGAGCGTATGTATTTTTGGCTAGTCTTGAAAAACTTTATTCTTTCCTTCAGAACTATGATGAACTTTTACTAGCCAATGTTCTGAAAAATAAACGTATTGGTCTGTCTTTTGAGAACCTTTCTGGTTAGATCATCTTTACAAATATTTTATTTACATTTGGGAGAGTATACTTGAAGTCTAAAGAGAATGATCAATCTTCTGGTCAGTCTTTGGCCAGTGTAATCTCCATTGTGCCCAGCTCTTATCATATACATTATTATTATTATCATTATTATTCAGGGTCCCACTGTATAGCCCAGGCTGGCTTGAAACCTACCAGCCTCTTGCCTCAGTCTCCCAAGGGCTGGTAATACAGACTGTGCCACTATACCCAGGTCTTCCTCTCCTAAAGTTTAAGTCATCTGTAGATTATTTTAATACCTAATACAATGAAAGTGCTGCATAAGTGGTTGTTAAGCTATCTTATTTAGAAAATGTCAAGGGAAACGTAGCTGTGTATGTGTATGCAGGACATATGCACGTTTTTTCTCTAGTATTTTCAGTCTATGCTTGGTTGAGTTCACAGATATGGAGGACCAGTTGCATCAGAAAAGCAACAGCAACAACAAAACATCAGAGAGAGAGAGAGAGAGAGAGAGAGAGAGAGAGAGAGACACTATCAATAGTTCCAGGAATCCACTGGGTAGATCTCCTTACAGTCAGTCACCAGGTTAATGACATGTGTTAAAAAAATAAAATAAAATTAGGATCATCATTGTACAAGCAAAAATGTAGTGAGAGAGATGAGAAAAGTAGGCTAGGATGGGGAAAATACTTCTTTTCTTAGAAAAGAAGAGCTGACCATTTATTCCAAAGATGCTTTAAAATTTGTTACATTAGATTTTTCTATTATGCAAATATTTGTGGCTTTTAGTATAAACGTTCTAAGTCAATTGTTTCCTTATATAAAGTAGGTTGAACATGACTGCCTCTTTTCCTGAAATTCACTCTCAAAGTCTTTTCTCAGGCTTGACTTTGGCAAAATGTTACTTTTCATAGAAAGAGCTGCTGTTCTCTGTGTCTGTCTCATGCATCAGAGGGTCAGCAGTGTGTGCCAAGGGCATGTGATGTTGTGGCCAGAGTCCCCTAGCAGACTTTAGCGGCACAGTCATTTGTCATGTTTTGAATTATACTCCATTTTGTGAAGACTTTATTCAGACCATGGAGTTTAAATCTCTGTTCTTCCACTTACTGTAACACTTAGCTATGTCATCCTGGCAAGTTACTAAACGTTTTGTGTCACAGTATCCTCATTCAGAAAGGGGGATTAATAGGTGGTTGTACAAATAACAAATTAATGCATGTCGAGTGCTCAGAGGACTGACTCGTGCGTAGTGAGTGCTCAGTAAATGGGTGTCATTCCAGTTCTTTTTTCTTTCTCTTTTTAAATATTTATTTTATTTTATGTGTGAAAGTGTTTTTCCTGCATGTGTGTATATGTACCGCGTCCGTGTCTGCTGTGTGTATATGCCACGGCATGCATTCTACCTCTGAGCCTCTTTGAGTAGCTTTAACCTCTGTAAACCTCCATTTCTTCACCTATGAAATGGAACATGATCACACTTCCCTTACAACACTCTGAGGACTGGGTACTGTAGATAAAAAGCCCCTGTCAGGGAAAGGTCGCATTAGGTAGGAGGGATGGTGGCAGTGAGAGTTGCCATTATTGTCTTCTTAGTAATGATAGTAGCTTAATAAACATACTGTCATTTTGTAAGTTAAGTTAAAGAACTTCAGAAGCCTAGTAGAAGTTGTAGCTAGCTTTTTCAAGCTTTTAGGGAATTCTTTTTTTTAATTTTCTGATTTATTTATTTTTATTTTATGTGTCTGAGTGTTTTACCTGCACGTATGTAAGTGCTTCTGTGCATGCAATGCCTGAGAAGGCCAGAAGAGGGTGTTGGATCTCCTTGGAATTGGAACTAAGGATAGGTGTTAGCTACCATGGGGGTGCTGGGAACCAAACCCAGATCCTTTGTAAGAGCTTCCAGCACTTTTAACTGCTGAGCCATCTCTCCAGCCCATTTTTGTTATTGAGATAGGGTCTCACTGTGTGGTCCTGGTGAGTTGAAACCTCACTATGTAGACCAGGCTGGCCTGGAACTCACAAACATCTATCTGCCTCTGTCTGGAAGTTCTGGGATCAAATCATTTGTACCACCAAAACTGGCTTATAGATGTTTATGTTAGCCTGTAAGAGCAAAGCTGTGCTGGGTAGCTTCAGCTGTGACTTGACACATTTGGGTAGAGAGAACCAGTAAGCCAGTAAGCAGCATTCTTCCATGGTCTCTGCTTCAGTTTCTGCCTCCAGGTTCCTGCTCTGAGCTCCTACGTTGGGCTCCCTCAGTGATGAACCGTGACCTGGGAGGTGTAAGATAAAATAAACCCTTTCCTGGGGGCTGGAGAGATGGCTCAGTGGTTAAGAACACTTGTTGTTCTTGCAGAAGACCCAGGTTCGAATCCCAGTACCCACATGGCAGCTAACAACTCTCCGTAACTCCAGTTCCATGGGATCTGACAGCCTCTTCTGTCCTCTGTGGGCATTGCACGACACAGGTGCACTTACATACATGCAGGCAATACACGCATACACATAAAATAATTGATAAAATATTTAAAAATAAAGAAAACAAATCCCTTCCTCTCCAAGTTGGTTTTGGTCGGTGTTTTCATCACAGTAATAGGACAAAGGCCCATCATGCATTGGTAACTTAAGAGCCTTTGATGTATAGGTTCAATCCCCAGAACCAAAAATTTAAAAAGAAAGAACAATTTTAATCACATTAGGAGGTCAAAGAGAAAGTTCAAAGGAGTTTCTTCCTATGTGATTTTAGAGTCTAAGCTGGGTGTTGATAGGTTTGCCACCTCTCTCTGTCATGTGTCACTCTGCCCACTCTGTTTCCACACTTGGAGTCACAATCTGCTTGGTCCATATATGTTGTGATAAGTGATGTAAGCCCTTTAAGAGTCCCTTAAAAGACCTTTGAGACTTGGGGTCACTTCTTTTTTCTTCAGCTTTGGAGGTAGGTGTCGGGGTTGCAACTCAAGGCCTTGCACATGCTCAGCAAGCCCTTTTTCTTCTGAGTTATATCTCCAGCCCATCTTCTTTAGTTTATAGACCCAAGACTAGTGAATTGCTGCTTTATTATTTTAGCATGAATATATCAATGTATCAAAAATATTAGATGCTGAGATTAATTTTCTAACTTCTCATATTCATTAAAAAATGCCTATCTTAGTAGGAACATTTAAAACACATACCTGTCTTAAAGTTTGAGTTCCCTGAAGGGGTCATTTGTGTTTCAGAAATGTCCATGTAGAAGGAAAGTGATTTCTTTATTCAAAAACCTGTGTCTGGTTGAAACGAAAAGATCACTTGAAGCTTGAATTGTGTGCTTTTCTGTTACCTTTGAAAAGCATTGTCAAATAACGACTTCGTCTCCATCTTACATTGTACTTACCTCTATAGAAGATTGTTACAGCTGCTTACAAAAGCTGTGCAATCTTATCTTTAGAAATGCTTTTCTAGGATTACTGATGGATTTTTCTATGTCATAAATTCTTTTCTGTATCTTTTTCTTTAGTGTGTGTATATACTAGGGGTTGAATCCAAGGCCTCATGCTTGCTAAGTTGCATGGGCTCTACCCCCAACCTCTAGATCTTCTTAGTGAAATGAGAAATGAGATGAATTGTATTTTAAAAAGACCTTTCTTTTCTTTTTTTTTTTTTTGGTCTTTTTGAGACAGGGTCTTTCTGTAGCCCCAGCTGTCCTGTAACTCACTATGTAGACCAGGCTGGCCTTGAACTCACAGAGATCTGCCTACCTCTGCCTCCTGAATGCTGGGATTAAAGGCATGTGCCACCATGCCCAGCAAGACATTTCTTATAATCAGAAAACACCAAGCACTTGTGTGTCCGATGCTGGGAACTAGAGCAATGAAATTAGAAGTGATCCCATCTAAGAAAATTTCAGTCTAGTGGAGGGTGGGGCATAAGGATGAAATTGAATAAAGGAGTTTATGATGCATTAAGTGCGGAAATAAAAGATTTAATCCAATGAGCTGAGATCAAAAGAAGGATTATCTTGAGGAAGCAGAAGGTTTTTTTTTTTCCTCATGAAATTTTATTCATATTGAATGATTAATGAGAAATAGTTTTTGATATATAAATCTTGAAAGACTGCAAATTTTCTTGAGATTTTGATCATCTCCAACTCTATTCAATCCCAGACCAAAAATAAAACCACAGAAACTTTTATTTTCATAGTGGCACTTAAAACAGCAAATCA